CATTAAGTTAAATTTGTGGCAACAAAAGTTATTTTTAAAGATATTAAATTTTTTATACTTCATGAAATTTATGTTCGTCGTATCTTCAAAGGGTTACACCACAAAAAAAGTTTCTTAAATAAATCCCGACTTTTCAGAACGCGCTGGATTTATCTTCAGGAGATATTATACCAGTAGAGTAGACGGGAACAAGTGAAATAGACAAGTTACCAGTGCCGTTGTACACTGTCCAATAAGGCAAGATCATATGTTGCTGACGATCAGCTTACGTTAAGTAAGCTATGCTAGCATGTATTTGCTGTTGAAAATGACATTTGATTCCAAATGTTCGACTGTTGGTCTCTTTTGTCCAGGCTCTTCTGCGTTTAAGAGAAAGCACAGCAAAGTGCGAGATCGCATGACGTGATGAAGTTCAGTGGAGCATATAATTTTTAGTTGTTACGGTAACTATGAAGTCGTGCCGTTCACCTCGAAACTCTGTGTCGAGCAGGCCAATCAAAAGTTTTGACATAGTTTGCCTTTCAAGGCGGCTCCCTCTAGGAGAAGGAAGCTTTGAATACAAATCCCGGCGGAAGGATTGAAAGCTACTGTATGTGTTCATTCCTGAGTAAAGCGTGATGAAATCACTTCATGATGCAGTCTTTCCTCTGGACAGATGATAACTAAGTTGTCACTCCGTAGTCATTTGGCTCACGAATTTGGACATTTTCATTTAACGTTGGTAGTCTTTCCCTGCCATGCGATTGCTAAAAAGGTCAAATGCTTCCAGACTTGTATTGATCATTTTTGTGGATATGGTGTTTCTTGTGTGTGCATTCTTATCGATCTTGTTGCTTCCAGTTGTCCTATGGAGCCTGGTAGCGATTGCTGTCTTCGCGTGGATGCTGATTTTCGCTCGAATCACGTCTGGCTGATGTCTTACTTCTACAGAGAGGCGTCCATAACAACTGCTGTACGAACCAAGATGACGACAGTCTCGATGATGTACGTATGCCAAAATTGAAGTGAAAAGTTGATATGGTTTTTGCAAACTCTGGTGAGCAACACCGATGTTGATTTTTCGTCATTGTTTGAGACAAAATGGTAAAGCATGAGACGTTTTTCTTGAACAGCGTTTGATACATTGCGCATCTGTGGAATATTCATAACTATTCGACTTTCCACCTTCGTAATCCGTGAACTGTTGGTCTAAAGATTTTTTCGAGGTAGATCTCACGTGTTTACTTTTTGTTTCCTTTCATCCAAGTCTTGATTTGACTAGCCCATCGTTGTCGATGGACCGAGGTAGCTCACTCGACGAAATGTTCAGAATGTGAATTCCTTGCTCAGTAGAATTGGCTGTTAATAAGACTAAATTTTGCTTCTGGTTTTTGTATTTGTAACCTCTAAAGTGTAAAATACATTAACCCTTGGTTTCGTTGCCGCTCACCCTCCAATTTTATTTTCTCATGTTATGACGTGTCCCTTGGTTTTTTAATATTTTTTCTCATATGCATGACCAGTCGGTGGTTAGACCTTACGTCTGAGCAATGATATGCTCTTGCACCTTCTACGTTTGTCTTCTATGTTTTTGCACCATCAAGGAAACGTTCGGGTGTGCTTGGGTCGGAAACAGTGACCGTTTCGAATCGAGCATTACTATCCAACCGTAGCACCTACTTCGCTTACCACACTGCCGATCACTGGTATAACTTCGGCAACTGTCAGACTCATATGCGCGTAGGATATCTGATGCAAGTGTACGAGGCAGACAACAAAGACTGGCAACAAGCGCTTGCATCGCTTTTTTGCCGCAGTCTTTAGCCGTATGAACACGCAGCTAGATGTTTTCAGTAGAGCTGTTGGCAATGTGACTTCTAGCATGTCTGTCGCTAATATTTACGAAGCAAAATTTGATTCGGCATTCAGAGTTCAGTCATTCATCATCACCTATGAATATTTTGTGACAATCTTCAAGTAGTTTTGTTTCACAAGTTAATCAGTGCATGACCGTCGTTTGAAAAAACGCGAAGATCTATTGCTGTCTACCAATTTTAGGTTTCACGTTGAATGCTTCATCAGTTTATTATTTAAACTATTTTCCTTAACATCCTTAACATAGTTAATATGCCATATTTTATCTACGTATTTCTATACTAATACTTTCTCGTTACTTAGTTGTTAGCGACAGCATTACGGTTACTACTATATGCTTATATTGATATGATTGTTTTAAAATTGCTGTTGATTATTAAAAGTGCTGAAAAATTGACCATTTTGCCATTCATCGTCATTATTTAGTAATATAATATGCAAGGTATTATGCAGAAAAGAAATCACTTTGCTCCATACTTGCATAATGTCGACTGTCTACTCAGTGATAGAATAACGCCATGTAACCCGAGCTACATATTTGCTGTCACCGTTTATTATTACATTTAGTAAATGCATCATAATAAATTTACCCATGTGCATAATTTCAGGGATTTATACCGCATTATTCTACGCTGTTCCACCACCAGAACCAGTCTAAAGAAGCCCCTACAGTGCACTGACGCAATAACAACAGGTCGCGTTGGACCGTTGCTGAGAGAAATTCTGGCCTAACCTCTAAGTTAGTTGGGTGGCCCTTGTAGTTTGTTTCCTGTGCAGGGGAGAAGAGAGCGCAGTTTGAAGATTCAATGGAACTGCTGGCGTGCTAAATTGCTCATCCTCATCCAGCTATCATTTATTTCTCATTCGACGTCTGTCGCTGTATCCTTGCCAGCTAATTTTCGTGATGTTGGATAATTATCTACATTGCACGTCGATGCGTTGCTGCCAGATTCTCTGGCGGCGCCGTACTCCCGGATTTTCAGTCTTTATCCCAAGAGTAGAGTGAAGTCATAACCGTTAAGTCATTTTTCCCCTTTTGTGCTTTTCGTCGCCAGGTAACGCTCGTTACCTGTGCAACTGCTGGAACTGGTGCAGTTTTAGCACTGGCTCAAGATTCTCTGGATGTGCGTGATCAGGCAAAGCTATCGAATAACTGATGAACAAAGGCCGCTGGCGATTCATTCATATTCGAAGACGCTGCTAGTTCGAGGCGTCAGGAAAGTTCCAGCCACCAAGCGGATGAATACAGCCGCTGAAAGGCAGAAATTGTGTCCAAGATAGCAATGTTGACGCCAAGGAAGAGTCGCTCCTAGTAAGCGACCGGGATGAGCAGTTTCCAAATTAGTGCTGTAGCCACATGTCCAGGGGGCTGCCCCAAATTTCTTCTTATTTTACTGTTGTTTGTGCAATAATATAGCCGTCTTCAAAAAGTGAACAAAAGGGAACACGGAAGGACTGCACTCGAATGCACAGATGAATGACAACCGGACAGCTACGCTGATGTTCATCGTGTCATTTTATTGACTCAGTGCTATTTGTTATGTCTGAAAAAAATACACGGTTACACTTTGTTTAATTTCATTCTACACCCCGCGGA